GGCAGCATTGAAGGAGAAAAAGATGTATCCAAATTGGGAAGGGGAGGGCAGCCTTCCTACGGCCTTTGATTTGATGGTGGGATTTATCAGGTTATTTGGAAGTGGGTATTTAAGAGCCTTGTGCCTTTTTTAAATCACTAGCTTTTGAGGAGTCCCCCCCCCCCACCTGCTGCTTCCCTGAGTCCTTGGCCAGCTGCCGGTCACTAGGGCACTGCGGGGCACCAATTTTGGGTTACAGCCCATCACCCGCCATGCCTGCTATTATTAGAGCACATTGGCTGAGGTGTCCGCAGATCAAAATTAACTGGCTAGCAAGAGCCAAGTGAACTCAACATCTTTGTCTTGGCTCTTAGCCTAGACTTGAATCTCACCTTGTTTTATGACATTATTCAAAAAATAGAGAAAACATCCCTTCCTCTCAGTTATTGATGAAAATCAATTGGGATGGCATCGAGAATTAAAAACAAAATCAAAATGAATAAGTGTATTCATCTGAGACCAGGGCACACTGCATTTTTTGCTCTCTGGGTAAAGGTAATGTCCTAAAATGTTGAGGATCATGAGGATCTAGATGAAGTGAGGTTTAATTTATTTAAAAAATAAAACTGAAAAAATCAAGTTATTTTCATTGGCATTTATTGAAATTCAGCAAACATTTATTGAATCCCTACTATGGGCCAGGCAATGAACTGGGATCTGGAGATACAAACACAAAAATGAAAAGGGCCTTGCATTTTATTAAGTACCTACTATGTGCCAGGCGTTGTACTGGGCTCTGGAGACTCAAAGACAGGAATGCAATGGTCTGTGCCTTCAAGGAGATTACATTGTGCTGGGGAGACCTAACACGTACACAAGCCTAGTACAAGGAAAATTCAGGAAGATGAGAGCCTTGGACTAACAGTGAGGAGTGGGCAGGAGGACTCAGGGCAGGCTTCACTTGAGCTGAGCCTTGACAGGAGACAAGGATTCTTAGTGGTGGAGATGAGAAAAGGGGAGCATCCTAGGGATAGGGACAGTTTTCTGAAAATTCAAAGAGGAGAGTATTAGAGTAGCTAGAATATAGACCCTGGGTGAGTCACTTAACCTGTCTGCCTCTGTAAAATGGGGATACCTTACATGGTTGCTGTTAGGATCAAATGAGATAATATTTATAAAGCACTTAGCATGCTGTCTGGCACATAGTAGGTGCTATATGAGTGCTAGCTGTTATTATTTAGTTGGTTACTCCTCTTTCTTCTTCACGCGTGGCACTTCATTCCCCATCTCCACACCTTTGCACTGGCCATGCCTCTACCTAGAATGTACTTCTTCCTCACTTCCACCTCATAGAGTGTCTCTCTTCCTTCAAGGCATATCCCAAGCACCACCTTCTGCATCAATCCTTTTCTGATTCTCTCAACTGCTAGTGCCTTCCCACCAAAACTGGTGGTTAATTACTTTGTGTTCATGTGTATTTTTCCTCTTTATACATTTTTCTCCGTATACTTATTTACATACATATGCATGTAATATAGTTGTATTCTCTCTATATTTATAGGTGTCCTCCCATTTCAACGTAAGCTCCTTGCAGTTAGGAATTGTTTCATTCTTTGTATTTGTGTTTCTAGCACCCAATGGTGTCTGGAACAGAGGTATCTAACGCGTGTTTATTGGTTGGTGGGGGTAATGTGGATTAAGGCTGGCAGGACTGGAGGGTGTCAGACTGCAGAATTCCTTAAATGCCCCACTAGGTGTTTGAATTGGATCCTGGGGAGCAGGGGAATGACGTGATCAGACTTGGGCCTTAGGAAGAAGTGAAGCATTTTTTAAAATATTAAAAAAAAAGGATTAAAAAACCTTACTCCTAGGTCTTGTTCCATATTTCAAATAACTCATTCCATCTGCTACATCATATGCTTGCAAAGCTTGGAGAGGCTGTGTCCAAGTAAAGGTAATCGACCTGATTGTCTTGTTCTGGCTCCCCAAGGCGCACTCACCAGCCGGGGGGAGACGGTCTTCCATATGTTTGTCCTCAATGGTGTCCTTGACTCCTGTTCTTCTTTGGAATTCCTACTCGGTTATGCATTGCACCCAGATCGCACCCACCAGGCACCTCTCCGTGGCCGACGGAATGTATACTTTACAGCTTTCATGTGCCACCTCCAGTTTCCAAGGGATAATTCTCTACCCAAACCTCTCTTCCTTGGGATGCTCAAGGAATTCAATTCAACAGATACTTATCGAGCGCCCATTATGTGCAAGGGAGCCTGGTATGTGCTGTATGGGAAGTCACTAGTTGTCCAGGCATTCTGGAACAGAGGGTGGATGTGCCTGGGAATTGTGGGAGAATAGCCACAGTTTCATTTTCTTTCAACCCTTTTTATGTGTTTCTTTATAAAACATATAAATCCCTCTTCCTGAGTTAATAACTAGAATATCATGAACATGAGCTGCCTTTCTTTGGCTGAAGACTGAGTGGTACCACAGGGGCCTCCCGCTTAGTAGGTAAAGGAGACTAGGCTAAACTGTAGCAATCCCAGGCCATACCCTAGAAATCGCCAGTCCCCTGGGTGTTATTTTGAAGTTGTTCCTGGGAACAGTTTCCGTCCCCTTCCCCCCATGGGTTATGGTTCTGTTTTGTCTCTGCAAATTGGTTCTCTATGCCTGGAATGCTCTTCCCTCTTTACCTCCACCTTGTAGAATCCCTGGTTCCCTTCAAAGCACCACTCGGGTGAAATTGATATACACTGTATTTAATTATGTACATGCAGATTGCCCCAGTGAAATTCAGATTAATCACACAGGCCTGTTATCTATGTATAGAACTCTACGGTTACAAAAGTCACATAAAAATAGAGTCACCAAAGTAGCGGCCTTCTGATGAGGGCTCAGAACTGTTCCATCTTTGTCTTTGCATTGCAGCGCCACGTTGTAGGTGTGTAACAAAAATTTTGTGAATTTATGGATTTAGAATTGGGAGTGATCCCAGAGACCGTCTAGTCGAGAGATTCTTAACCATTTTTATGTTATGGCGGCTAAGTAGCACAGTAGACAGAGTGCTGGACCTGGAGTCAGGAAGACCTGAGTTCAGATTTGGCTTTGAACACTTATTTACCTGTGTGACTTTGGGCAAGTCATTTAACGTCTGTTTATCTTAGTTTCCTCATATGCAAAATGAGAATGATAATAATACTTGTCCCCCAAGGCTGTTGTAAGGATCAAAAACCTTTGCAAACCTTAGAATGATATATACATATATATATATGCTATCTATTATTATTATTATTATTATTATCATCATTTTTATTATGGACCCTGTCTAGTGAAGCCTATGGACTCCTCAGAATAAAGCTTTTAAATGCATAAAATAAAATGCATAAGATTACAAAGGGAACTGATTATATTGAAATAGCTATCAGGACAAAAAAGTTTCCAAACCCCAGGTTAAAAACCCCTGATCTAGTCTAAGAGGCTTATTTCAAATGTGAATTGAAAGAAGGTAGAAAAACATGGGTGAGTCAGTTTTATTTCTCAGTGCTGGAAGCAGCTGTGTAAGAACATCAGTTATAGATGAGTTGCCGATCTCTATTGGTGGAAAGGGTTTTCACACTTGGGAGTTCCCTCCACAGTGAAATTTTTTAAAAAGTCAGATTTGTAAGGTATCTGGGCTCTGCTTAGTTAACACATGGCTCTCTCTATTGTTAATGTTTCAGACCTGCCTTTGTTTTCCCTCTAAGGCCTTGAAAACAGATACTGATTTTATCATCTCTATTTTAAAACTTGACCCAACAGTTCTTGCCCTCAGGCAGCATTTTTGGCCAGTGGCTTTCAGTCTTTTCCACCTAGTCATTCCCCAGAGGACATCCAGGAATGCCCCACATTCTAGGTCATCTTTCCATGGAAAGAAAATGAAAATGCTCAGGATACCTGGTCTATGCTCACTTTTCAGAGGGAAGGAATTAGGAGCCAAGGAGCTGGCCTGGGGCTTCTAGCGGAGTATGCTAATGAAGAGAGAATCCTGCTTACGGACAGGGAAAGATTGGACTCCAATTCTCTCCAGTCTTCTGTGATCCCAGATTGAGAAGCCTTGCTTTAAAGTGTTCATGATGGATAATGTGGCATGGGACTTGGGATTCAGGAAGACCTTGTTTGATTCAAATCCAGCCGCAAATACTTCCCTAGCTGTGTGATCCCCAGGGCTAGTCTCTTTAACCTCTCTGAGCCTCAGTTTCTTGATCTGTAAAATGGGAATAATAATAGAACTTATCTCAGGGGATTGTTGTGAGGATCAAATGAGGAAATATATGTAAAATGCTTTATAAACCTCAAAGCACCATAAAAATGTTAGCAATTATTTAAAAAAAAACTCACTCTACCTTTTGTTTTCATTATCACATACATTTCCCAGTGTATCCTCTGCCCTTCCCCTCCCAGAGGGCCAATAAAAAAGAGAAAAATAAAATTCACCAACACATTGGAAAAAGTCTGATTTATATGCATTGTTTCCACATCCACTGTCCCCCTCCCCCCCATCTCTGCAAAGAAGGGAGGGAGGTGTCTTTTCATATCTCCTTTTTGGAAACAAGGGTGGTCATTGTAATTTCCCAATATTCTTTTCCCCGATTGTTTGTTTTGTGATTGTTAATGTTCTTTCCATTTATGTTGTTGAGGTCATTGTGTACCTTGCTTTCCTGGTTCTACTTCCTTCCCTGTGCATCAGTTCATTGAAGTCTCCCTGTGCCTCAGCATTCATCAGTCCTTATAGTGCAGTAAGATTTCATTAATGTGCCATGACTTATTTAGCCAACCTCCCATGCACGTGCATCTAATTTGTTTCCAGTTTCCTACTCACTTTTTGCATTGTTTCCTCTTTTAACATGTGTCTCTGTCCAGCGGCTGGAAGTGTGCCAAGTGTGACTTGCGGGAGAACCTTTGGTTGAATCTGACTGATGGCGCCATCCTTTGTGGAAAGTGGTTCTTTGACAACATGGGGGGAAATGGGCATGCTCTGGACCATTACAAAGAAATGGGCTACCCTTTGGCAGTGAAGTTAGGAACCATCACTCCAGATGGGGCAGGTGAGTCCTTCAAGCTTTGGGATTTAAGGAATTAGGGGAAGGGGTGATGACAACGAGGGCAGGACCTATTATAAACCTTTTAGCATCATGCCAAGAGTGTTGGACTTTGGGTTGAGAAGATCTTGATTCAACTCTGGCCTCTAATCCTTAACCTGAGTGACTTCAGCCAGTGGCTCAACCTCTCAATATCCCACGAAACTCTCCAAGACTATAATTTGGAGGCAAGTTGCTGATCTGTACTGGTATAGGAAGTTTGCTCATCAGGAAGTTCCTTATGGCAGTAAAATCATAGCTTGGGTCTGAAAAACAAATATATATTATGTATATATGTATATGTTTAAGAAAAAGTGTGGTATAGTTGTCCTATGATGGCCTTGTGACCTGTAAGATCTGTGTTTAAGTTCTATCTATGATGCATAGTGGCTCTGTGACCCTGGGCAAATCATTTAACCTCTGTTTGCCTCAGTTTCTCATCTGTAACATGGGAGTAAATATAGCACTTACCTCCCAAGGTTTTTGTGAGCACATGGCTCACAGTCTTTTGCTTTACCTGGTGACCTCTTTACTCTCATTGGGAACCCTTCTCAGACCTTGGCATCTCCATTTGCCAGCCTTCTCAATTACCTCAACTTCCATTCAAACACTTGAATGACGCATTTGTCATCATCATCATCACCTCAACTTTTGCATCTCCAAGGCCCCAAACTCGGACATTCTTTTATCTGACCACTTCCTCCTTTTTTAAAATTTTGTTCTTTCTTTTTTAAAAATTTTTATTAATTTATTTTGATTTGTCAATAATACTTCCATATGCTTTTGAGTTTAAAATTTTTCTCCCCTTTCCTCCCCACCACCCTCCCCAAGATGGCACACAATCTGAAATAGGCTATACATATACATTCCTATTAAACATATTTTCAAGATGTTGCAAGTAAAAATTAAAATCAATAGGAGGAACCTTCAGAAAGAGGAAACAAAACTCAACAGAAGAGAAAAAAAAATAGCAATTCAACTTCTGTAGTTCTTTCTTTGGGTTGTGGATACCATTTTCCATCATGAGGCCTCTGGAGATGTCTTAGATCCTTGGATTGCTGGGAAGGGTTAAGTTTATCAATATTAGTCATTGCACAATGTGGCTGTTATTGTATACAATGTTCTCTTGGTTCTGCTCATTTCACTCAGCATCAGACCATACAAGTCTTTCCAGGTTTTTGTGAAGTCAGCCTGTTCATCATTTCTTATAGCACAATAGTATTCCATTACATTCATATAGCACAACTTGTTCAGCCATTCCCCAGTTGATGGGTATCCTCTCAATTTCCAATTCTTTGCCACCACGAAAAGAGCTGCTATGAATATTTTCGTACATGTAGGTCCTTTTCCCATCTGTGTGATCTCTTTGGAATATAGCCCTAGAAGTGCTATTGCTGGGTCAAAGGGTATGCACATTTTTATAGCCCTTTGGGCATAGTTCCAAATTGCTCTCCAAAATGGTTGGATCAATTCACAACTCCACCAACAATGCATTAGTGTTCCAATTTTCCCACATCTTCTCCAACACTTATCATTTTCCTGTTTTGTCATGTTGCTGACCACCTCCTCCTTGCTCTTCCATTATATCTCCTGCCTCACTCCTCCCAAACCTACCTTTAGGTTTAGAGTATGAGGCAGCATGGACCAGTGGGGCATGGTACTAGGTGATTCAGCGTGTCTGGGTTCACATCCTAACTTTGTGACCTTGGACAAGTCACCCTCTCTGGTCTTTGGGTTCCTCATCTGTAAAATGAGAGGTTAGACCAGCTGACTTCCAAGGGGTCCTTTCCAGCTCTAAGTCTCTGATCCTCTGTCTTTCTGGTCCATCAATTGTCTCAGGTGTTGTCTCAGGCCGTCACCCCATCTGGACTAGCACTCTCCTTACCCCAGGCTGACTGATACAGATTCTCAGAGATTTTGGTAAGCACTGTCCCGGTCACTGGCCTGCAGCTACTCTCCTTAGAGTAGATAGGCACTTTGTTTCATTCCCAACAATATCCTCAAATGTTGTTCCTCATCCCCAAATGAATTTGGGTACAATCTGATGTCCTGAAATCAGGTTTTGTTAAGTATTAAAATGAAAAGTGTGTTGAATCCAGCCAGGAGAGCCAAATGACACCCACAGTGGCACTTCAAATTTTGAAAGAGACAGGGTAGAGGTAGCTAGGTGGTGCAGTGGATAGCCCACCAGCCTTTGAGTCAGGAGGACCTGAGTTCGAATCTGGCCCCAGACGCTTAACACTTACTATCTTTGTGACCCTGGGGAAGTCACTTAACCCTGATTGCCTCACAAAGAAAAAAAAAGAGGGTTGTCATTTGAGAGGTAGCTTGGTGGGGTGGAAAGAATACTGCCTTTGGAGTTGGCAGATTATGGTTCAAATCTTAGCTATACAATTCATTACCTGTGTGACCTTGGGCAGATCACATAAGCTCTCTGGGCCTCAGTTTCCTCATTTATAAAATGAAGGGGGTGGACTAGTGGCCTTTGAGGTCCCTTCCTCCTTTAAGGCTATTGCCCAATTGGGAATCTTTCAGATAGAGGATTGTTGGAATTTCACTTGTTTAAAATTTTTTTTTTGGAGTCGTCTAACTTTGTACTTCCCAAGCTCTAGGCTGATTGTCGGGAATTGCAGAGGGGACAGTTTAGTTCTTAAACTAATTAGCATACTGACATTTAAATCATTCAATAATAACACATAGTTTAATAGTTTTAAAAAGCCAAGTTTCCAGAATATTAATTTGTTACTTTGCAAAGAACAGACATATAATGTTGAGTGGAATGTCTCTCTATTTATTGTTACATTTCTGGGACCATTTGTCCCCTGGGAATTTTTTTTGGGGGGGAGGGGGAGGGGGAGGGTGACAGGTGAGGAAGAATTCTTTTCACAATACTCTTAATTAAGTTTATTTTTGGTTAGCATTAGTTTTCTTTTTTTGACTGGATCTATTATTTATTTGATGTTGAAGAAACTCTCTCTACCAACACAGATTGACATTTTCTTTGTAATGTGCAGTCTTAGGACAGTAAGCCACACTCACTAAGGGCTTAGCACACTGAGAGGTTAGGTGACTTGCCCGTTGTCACGCAGCTCAGATGCGACAGGGGTAGGACCGGAACCCAGGTCTCACCCAATCCAAGGCCACACTGTCCCTTGAATTAAATTCAACTGTATTTCTTTTTATTTGAAGATAGTCTAGGAAAAATGATTTTCAGTTTACATAACTGGGAATTTAAAACCAGTCAGTCAACAAGCGTTTCTTAAGTACCTAGTGATGGAGCCACGTCCTCTGACTCTTTCCAGTGCGCCACATAAGCAGGACAGCTTCCCTTTGTCTCTCTTTAGGTGGTTGTTCTGTTGTTTAGTCATTCTGACTTTCTGTGACCCCATTTGAGGTTTTCTTGGCAAAGATACTGGAGTGGTTTGCCATTTCCTTCTCTAGCTCATTCTATAGATGGGGAAACTGAGGCAAACAGGGTTAAGTGACTTGCCCAGGGTCACACAGTTAGTATGTGTCTGAGGCTAGATTTGAACTCAGGAAAATGAGTCTTCCTGATTCCAGGCCCAGTGCTCTGTGCACTATGGCGCCACCTAGCCCCCCCCACTCTCTCTCTCTCTCTCTCTCTCTCTCTCTCTCTCTCTCTCTCTCTCTCTCTCTCTCTCTCCCTCTCTCTCTCTCTGTCTTTCTCTTTTTCTCTGTCTCTCTTTTTATGATAATTTATTTATTTTTAGTTTTCAACATTCACTTCCGTAAGATTTTGAGTTTTAAATTTTCTCTCCCTCCCATTCCTCTTCCCTCCCAAGATGGCATGCAGTCTAATATAGGCTGTACTTATACATTCATGTTAAGCATATTTTCCCATTATTCATGATGTAAAGAACAATTAGAACTGATGGGAGGAACCATGAGAATGAAGCAATAAAACAAAACAACGAAGGAAAAGGAGAGCAAATAGTAATCTTCCATCTGCACTCAGGCTTCATAGTTCTTTCTCTGAATGTGGATAGTTTTTTCCATTGTGAGTCTTTTGGAGTTGTCTTAGATTCTTGGGTTGCTGTGAAGAGCAAAGTCTATCAAAGTCAGTCATCGCACAACGTGGCTGTTATGATGTACAATGTTCTCCTGGTTCTGCTCATTTCACTCAGTATCAGTTCATGTAAGTCTTTCCAGATTTTCCTGAAGTCTGCCTGCTCATCATTTCTTATAGCACAGTAGTATTCCATTACATTCACATACTACAACTTGTTCAGCCATTCCCCAATTGATGGGCATCCCCTCAATTTCCAATTCTTGGCCACCACAAAAAGAGCTGCTATAAATATTTTTGTACATGTGGGTCCTTTTCCTGTTTTTATGATCTCTCTGGGATGTACTCTAGAAGTGCTATTGCTGGGTCAAAGGGGTCAATACTCTCAATCTCTTGTTTTATTCACTAGCTGCTCTCTTGGCATTATTTGTAGATGAGGGAAGAGTCTGACAGGTTTCTACAAATCTTTGTGTTGCCTGAAAATGGTTTGTTCATATTTCAAAGCTACTGCCAGTAGGGGTGGTCAAATTCTAGTGAATTATGTATGTCCTGGATGCCTTGGGAAAGTTTTAGGTTTAAAATCACAAGCTTGTGAAAAGCTATCTCACCTGTAATGTTAGCCACCAGCCTGATAAAGGCCATAACCCCATCTTTAGAGGGTGACTTCCAGACATCTCATCCTCCTATTTCTTTATGTTCTCTTTGAGATTTTAAAGTTTTTTATGTCATAAAAGTTATTATTTCACATTTCTTGGGTCAAAGGTTTGTTTTGAATATTAAGTTTATTTTTTGAGGTTTTTCCAAGTCAAGAATGAGGAATTTTTTAAAGTTAGAGCTTTTGGTAATTGGGAAATATATCAATTATTTTAAGAACCCTGAATTTAGTCTGGTTAATTTTTTTAAAATTTGTGGATGAAGAGAGCTATGGTATAAATATTTTACTCACCTTGTTTTAAAATTAAGACCATAGATCATCAACCTGTATCATATTGACATAATTTGGAGGAAAAGAGTCTTTGGGGAGACATGACGGCTTTTTTTCCTGTTTTTGGAACTGAACTTGTAATTCTGTTGGTGATGGTGTTGTGATTCAACCATTTTCAGTTGTGTCTGACTCTCCGTGACCCCACTTGGGTTTTTCTTGGCAAAGATACTAGAGTGGTTTGCCATTTCCTTTTTCATCTTATTTTACAGATGAAGAAACTGAGGCAAACAGGGTTAAGTGACTCCAGGGTCACACAGCTAATAAGTGTCTGAGCCTGGATTTGAACTCAGGAAGTCAAGTCTTCCTGACTCCATGCCTGGCGCTTTCTCTACTTCGACACTTAGCTGCCCTTTCATTGGTGTAGAGAACTTGAAATGAGGAAACTCATTCTACCAATACAGATCATCACATCTTCTGCAGCTTAGAGTCTTAGAGAGTTGCCTACAGCACCAAAGTGTTAAGTGACTTGCCCAGGGTCACACAGCAAGTATGTGTCAGAGCTAGGAATTGAACCCAGGTCTTTCTGATTCCAAGCTGGACACTCCATTTTCTGTGTCTTCCTCACCATATTTGAAAAGTTGTTATATGGAAGAGGGCTTGGATTTGTTCTATTTGGTTCCCAAGGGCAAAAGTAAGAGTAGTAACTAGAAGTTACAAAAAGCCAAAACCTTTCTAACATTGAGAGCTGTCTGAAAGGACTCTGGGCTGCTGGGAGAAGCAGAGGGCTCCCTTCCCTGTCTCCAGTTAGGGACTAGATGACCTCTTGTCTTTAGTCTTGGAGTAGGGATTCCTTCAGGTCTGGTTGGCCACTGCCCTTCTAACTCTGAAATTCTGTGAAAAAAATGAAAATTTATCTTTGGTCAGAAAAGGAGGGATATTGAGGAAGAGTAAGAAGGGAGTAGAGGGGGAAAGAAACATGGAAAGGAGAAGCCATTGGGAGAAAGAGGAAGATACAAGATGGAGCCAGAGGAGGCCAGGGACCAGGTCTTATCTGAACCTCCTACCTCCTTCGTTGCCTTGCACAGTGCCCTATATATAGCAGGTTTTTACTGAATTGAATCCAGGGCATAATAGGTCCTCAGGTGTGTGTGCTCCTACTGTGGGAAGGGAAAGAGGGAAGGCGTTAAGCATTTATATAACTCCTTCTATGTGCCAGAAACTGTGCTAAGTGCTTTCTTTTTTTAAACAAATATCTTATTTGGTCGTCACAATAACCCTGTAAGGTAGGTGCTGTCATCCCCATTTTACAGTTGTGGAAATTGAGGCAGACAAGGATTAAGTGACTTACCCAGGGTCACACAGCTAGTAAGTGTCTGAGGCCAGAATTAAACTCAGGTCTTCTTGACTCCAGGTTTAGCACTCTACCCACTATACTACCAGCTGGATTAAATATCTGAATATCTACATAGACAGTGGCAATTCTTAATACTTTTTGCACGGGGCCCAGGACATACTTCATAGAGATTTATTTTTTGGCATTAATGAAAATGTCAAAGAAGGCCAGGCATGGACTTGGGATTTCCAGCAGCTAGGTAGCTTGAGAATGGAAATTCTGGGTTGCAGTGGGCTAGGCTGCTCTGGCAGCCACACTAAGTGTGTGTCCCCATCAATATGGGGAGCTCATGAGAGTGGTGAGGGAGTGGATCAGGGAGGGGGGCTACCATATTGTTGAAGGAGTGGTAAAACTGGCCCAGGTTAGAAACAGAGTAAGTCAGAGAGTCTGTGCCAATCAGCAGTGGGTCAAGTCTATGGCCCTTCCAACCTGGAAGAGATGGAAAGACTCAGCCTTTTAAAAAATAAAGCCAAGGAAATTTATCATTGATCCTAATGCTTGTAAATTTCTTTTCTCCTTTGCAGATGTTTATTCCTTCCAAGAAGAGGAGTCTGTTTTAGATCCCCACTTAGCCAAGCACTTAGCACATTTTGGGATTGACATGCTTCAGATGCATTCGGTGAGAATGCCAGCCTTTGTTTACACCTTAACTCCCAGTGTAGTGGGTGGGAAGGTGGTGGCAGTGAGATTGTTACATCTAATTTAAATATTCTTCTTATGCAAATATTCATTATAATAAAATTTGAAGTTTTAATGGTTTCCAAATCCAATTATGTGGGGCAATCCACCCATCATCCCATAAGTATTTTTGCAAGTGCTTACTCTGGTTGAGGCACTAGGAATGTAAATACAAAGAATTAAAAAATCCCTACCCTCAATGAGCTTACCTTTTAATGGAGCAGATGTGAACCTATATAAATATATATTGAATCATATGAAGGCAATAAATATAAATAAATACCAAATAGTTAAATGCAAGATAGTTGGAAGTTGGGAGAGGCAGCTAGTCTTTGAGGGGGGCGAGGAAGGGGTTCAAGAAAGGCTTCATGCAGAATGTTAAAGCTGGATCTTGAAAGAAGAGGAAGCCTCTGAGGGAGAGCTGAGGAGGGTATGTTTTACCCGCATGGGTGACTGGACTCTAACTTGTCATTGGATTTAAAGATTAGATTTGTTTTTTTGTAACATGAATGGGAAATCAATATTGAATTTTGGAGATGACTTTTTGGTTCATTGGTATTGGCACTAGAATTTCCCTTTAATGTACAGAGAACCTCACTCCCTGGACAGTTAAATAATAGTAAGATTAATAAGAGAATAAATAATGATAAGAGTAATAAGGTAGTAAGAGAAGATGACCTTTGAAATTGTCAGCTATAACATACTTCAATCTCAAGACGAGTGAGTTGATTTCACTTAAAATAAATAAAAAATTAAAATAACCAGAGATCACAGCTGGATGGAGATAACAAGAAAACACATTGTTAATGGAGAATCCTTAACTTATTTTTACTCTATGACTTCCCATGGGTGGTGAAATATCTGCTTTAGACATGAGATCATGTGTGAGTGGTATTTTCCTTGTGTTCAGACCTCATCTGAAGTATTGTATTCCATTTTTGGCTTTCTAGTTTAGAAGGGCATTGGTAAATTGGAGTGTGTCTTGAGGACACCAGCATGGTAAAGAGCCTCACATATGTCATATGAGGCTTGGTTGAACCAAAGAAGTCATTTGGTCTAACTCTTTCATTTTATTGATGAGCAAGCTGAGCCTCATACAGGCTAAGTGACTTTAGGCTAGTAGTGAGCAGCAGGGTTGGCATCTGACCCCAGATCCTCTGATTCCAAATGGGATGTTCTTAAGATCATAGGAGGGTTCTTGGTGTCACGGTGCATAGAGTTCTGGAATTGTCATTGAGTCACTTAATCTCCCTCAGCCTCAGTTTCTTTTTTAAAAATTTATTTAGTATTTTATTTTTCCCCAGTTACAAGTAAAAACAGTTTTTAACATTCATTTTTAAAACTTTGAGTTTCAAATGTCAGCCTCAATTTCTGTACCTGAAAGTGGAAATAATCATAGTACCTCTTTTTCAGGATTGTAAAGATTAAAATGAGACAATATTAGGTAAAGTCCTTTGCCAATCTCAAAGTGCTAGCTCAGTGTAAGCTATTACTAGAAAATGACATTACTCATTTTTTTTAATGCCTCTGTACCCATTGGTTTGGCCATTTCCTCTTCATTTACCCTCCTTTCCTCACCCAAAAGAGCAGATCATTCCAGAAAGACTGAGTGAGTAGATAGACAAGGCCAGGTTCCCATCAGCAATCATTAATGATACAAAATTAATGAATGCCATTTAAATTGTCTTTCTTTAACGATTCGGCATCTAGACGGAGAACGGCATAAAGGACAATGATGTCAAACCCAGGATCAGTGAGTGGGAAGTCATTCAGGAGTCAGGAATGAAACTGAAGCCCATGTATGGCTCTGGATACACTGGGATGAGGAACCTTGGAAATAGCTGCTATCTCAGTGCGGTCATGCAAGCCATCTTCAGCATCCCTGAATTTCAGAGAATGTAAGTTTTGACACTCCAGAGAATGGGATTTCCAGTGTTCTCTCTTGTACATGTTGTAGTACCCACACTCCGTACTTATCTCTGGTACCTGCTCAAACATGGTGGATTACACTTGGCATGTGCTTCTGGAGCCTGGTGGCAGGGAGTTTAGGCAATTTTCTAGAACAATGTTTCCTTTATGTTTTGGACAGTTTTATAAAAATGATATTCACGTGAAGCTCTTTCTCAATATGTGTTCTGATTGAAAGAGTTGTAACTAGAGATGATTCTTGAAATTAATTTGAGAGTAGAGGGGAGGAGATTGGGTATAGTATCTGTGGTTTAGTCTTGAGTAGAATGATACCAGCCTGCCTTCTAGAAGAAAAGTTCAACTCTTTCCCCTGGGAAAGTAGGACCTAGTAGAGAAGTACCAGATAATGGCACCCTGGGGGTGATGGCCTGGGGGTACTTGTGTCTTGTGGTGTTATGATGTGGCAGATGGCTATGAAGTAAGTTGTAAAGCAGCAATCAGAAATCATTTATTAAACATTTACTGTGTGCCAGGTACTATCCTAAGCTAAGGCTGGGACATGATATAATATGATATGATGTGATATAATATGATATGGACAAAAGTATAATAGTCCTTTCTCTCAAGTGATATTGATACCCTGGGTCAAAGCCTTGTTCACCCCAGGCTAGTTATATCTGTTATTATTGAAGCAGTTAGCCTGCTGTTTTTTATTCTTTCTTTTCTCCATGCAGAGAGAATGGGGAACAAGGATTCTACCCCCCTGCCCCACAATTTAAATGTCCTTAATTAGAAGTCATATGAAGGAGAAGAGTTTTTCCCTAATGCATTCTCTACACAGACTTGTTGCTTTTCTGGCTTTATTTGGGCTGTTCTTTAGCGCAGGCCAGGGAATTGCTGCCTTTGGAACTCAGCTGCCTGCAGGGGTTAGAAAACACTGTGATGTTCCAGAGGTGAGAGTTTTCCTTTGGGAAATATTATGGATTGGAACCACAGAATCACAGAATTGGAGTGTTGGAAGGGACCTCAGAGGCATCTGGTCCAAATCATAGCTGAAAGGAATCCCTTTTATAAGTAAGTAAATATACTTACAAATACCCATCTGTAAGCATATGTACTTACGAACATTCCAGCTTTGCTGAAGATATTTACATGTCTATCTTATCTGTCTCCTATATATAGTATTACATATCTATGTATCTATGTATCTATCTACCTATTTATGTATCAATCTGTACATCTATGTATCTGTGCATCTATCTCTTATATATAATATTACCTATCTGTCTATCCATATCATTTCCACTCTGGTGGAGCCAAGATTGTCACTCCATTGTTCAGAGTTCCTGTGTCTTTCAGAGTTATTTAATTGTGGCCATGATGTGAATTAAGTCTCTTGAAAGCTCACTGGGGGCAGAGACCATTTAATTTTTGTCTCTGTACCTCCCATGCAGCATATGGGAGGCACTTAATAAATACTTGCTGATTGACTCTTCTTAGTTCATTCTTCATCTTTTCACGTAAGTCTTCCGATTGCTTGGATTGTATATTGCTCAGGCAGACGGAGATAGAGTCCCTCCAGGTCATAGATGACCTTCCAAAGTCCTTTTTACCTCTCACCTTTTGCCTTTTGCCTTCACTTTTCCCTTTGGTGACTATTCTATAACTCAGGCTCCAGGACTTTAAACTAACTCTGGAGAACATCCTCTTAGGGGCTAAGGATTAATTATTATTTAATTTAATCTCAAACAAAAGTAAATGAGAGAGCTGGATTGGAAGAACTCTGTATTCCTTCTTGGTTCTAAACCTTTGATCCTATGAAATCGTGCTCTTTTGTTGGTAAATAGAAGGATTTTTAAAATTTCAAAACTACACAATTTTTAAGTCTTTTGGCACTCAGAAAGACTGAAGAAGAATTTCATGACTGATACCTTTTGCAACTTTTTTGAGTGTAATTTTTATTCCCCTCCCAAAGTTTCACACTCTTGTATTGAACTTTATATTTGGTTAATTTAGACCCAAATCAGTTGCTCACCAAAGGCTTTTAAGATCACAGAGTAGGGTAGGAAGAGCCTTGGCTCTGGAGTCAGAAGAGCTGGGTTCAAATCGTAGTGCTGATACCACTTGTGTGACCTTGGTCATGTGTCTTAATCCCCCTGGGTGTCAGTTTCCTCGTATGTAAAATAAGGGGATTGGACTTACTGCCCGCTGGGGTCACTTCCAACTCCTGATCTATGGTTCCATGAACATTGAATACCTAAAACCAAAAACCACCTTACTCTTCTGACTCCCTCTCCACCACCTTTTCTCCTGCCTCTTCCAAAACCCTTCAGCTTCCCGCTTCCCTATCCGCCCCCCAGATATGCCAGCTGAGCAGGGTCTGTCTAGCCTAAGAGCTGCAACTGCATTCTGGAAGTAGAAAGAATGAGTCACAGTAAGATTAGGTGACACAAGCAGAGCCTGGAATGGCAACCTGATTCCTTGACGCCCTGCTTGCCTCTTGACCTATCTGTTTTTTAATTTCTTTTGGGAATCAAATCTAAAGACTTAGCCTTACAAAGGGACATCAGAGGTGAGTTGTGAAGAGGCAAAACTGATTTTCCCCTCTTGATTAAAATCACTTGAATAATAGTATTAGCTAATGTTTAAAGTTTGCAGAGCACTTGGCACCTTCTCTTCTCATCCTCATTAGGAGTGACTTACAGAGACCCTGTAAGTAGGATAGATGCTATTATTATCCCCATTTTACAGATGAAGAACCTGAGGCAGACAGTGGTTAAGTGACTTGCCCAAGGTCACACAGCTAGTAAGTGTCTGAGACAGGATTTGAATGCAGGTCTTCCTGACTCCCAGTCCATTGCTCTACCCACTGCACCACCTAGCTGCCTATAGCTAGAAATTATATTATCCTTAGGGGGTAGGAGATAGGGACTGAACCTGTGACTTAAATGGGTATAGATGAGGTGAGGAGGAAACTCCCTCTGCCAGTGTAGGTCAGCATCTTCTCTGCAATTTAAAGATAGATCTGAAGAGGATTTTCTAAGTACAAAAACCAAAAACTCTTTAAAAATTATTTTGCTAAAAGTCCTAAATTTTACTTTGGTTGCTGGAAAGACACCTGTATTTATCTGTGAAATGGAGATAATTACAGCCACGAAAGGCATCATGGTATAGGTGGTAGAGACCCAGACAACTGGGTATTAGTCTTGCCTCTGCCCCACACATAACTGTGTATTCCTGGACAAGGTATTTGACCTCTCACCACCCTGTGACCTCACCACCTTTAAGCATTTCCAGTTTGTCTTGGAGGAGGAGATTCTCTCACTGGGAGTTCCTCATGGCACTGAAATGGCATGTCTAGTCTCTATCCCTATTATTATTGTTGCTATTTCAGGTCTGATAAAAAAAATGGCACCTATTTCACAGAGTTGTGAGAAAAAGGTGAGATAATGTCTCTCAATTGCTTTGTAAGCCTTGAGTTACTACATAGATGATCACAGAGATCAGAGCTGAGATGCTCTAGTTCACCCTGATTACTTCACAGTTGAGTAAACTGAGGCTGAGGGAGGTCAAGCAACTTTCCTAGAGTCAGAGGTAGTAATAAGCAATAGAGGTATAAATGTTGGCTATTTTTATTATTACTAAAATATTACCTAAAGAGAATATTTACTTCGGTGTCCTGTCTGAGAGCTATGTGCTGCTGAATTTGGAATCTGATTCTCTCTTGACTCCAAATCTAATGCCCTTTCAACCCTGCTGAGATTTCTATTAGGTCTTTCATGCACAGGTTATCAAAAAGGTGTAGACAAGCAGAGAATAATGAATGGTGTTTTAAATGTAATACACGAAGGACAACATTATTGGGAGAAGTAGCAAGAACTTCTTGCAAAGAGTAGATGATAAGGGGATGCCAACATTAGCTCCTTCCTGGATATAGAAACTAATTGAACAAGAGGATTCTGGGGTGTTTCAGGACAAGGTGGAAAGAGCAAATAATTTGGAGATGACAGGAACAATATCAGAGTCAGAATTTGTTGATTGGGGTGTTTGTGGGAGTGATGGTATAAATATTTACCAAAGACTGGAGTGTTGTCCTAGCATTTGGCTGCTTTCGCAGGGCGGCAGAGGAGAAAAAAAACAACCACAAACTTTCCATCAGTCCTAGGATTAGGTTTGACAACAGAGCCAGTCATAAGTATCACGGTGACCCAACTAGGGAAGTATCTCAGAGGTCTCAGTGTGAATGTGTCCCCTTTATTTTGGTTTCCTGTTCCCTCTGCCCCAACATTTGTGCTGTTCTTTTCTCATTTCTAGGTATGTGGGAAACTTGGCAAGGATATTTGACTACTCTCCTCTTGACCCAACACAGGATTTCAACACACAGATGTAAGTGCCAGGTCTCCATTGGGGAGGGTAGAAAAGTGGGGAGTAGAATTGGAAAAATTCCCTAGCAATCAGAAGTGAATGACTGAAATAAACTTTTGTCACGACCCTTGATGTCTAGATAATGGGATGGCCATTTTGCTGGCTGAAATGTCAAATGTGATGGTAATTGGGGGAGAAGACAACAACCTGGTGGTTCATTGTTTTGTTTGTTTATTTGTTTCTCTGCTTTACTCCAGGGCTAAGTTAGGACATGGCCTTCTCTCGGGCCAATATTCCAAACCTCCCATGAAATCTGAGCTCATTGAACAGGTGATGAAAGAAGAACATAAGGTAAGTCCATGTGCAGGCACTTACAGCTCTGATCTATAGGTACAGGGGCCCCAAAGCTATGGGAATGATCATGGCTTGGAAGGTCCCCAGGCCTCTTAACAAGTATAAAATCAAAGGTTTCATTCTAGGAGCTGACATTTTTGTTTATACATTTCAAAAATTAAGGTCAAGGTTTTTATTTGCAGGGTTGCTTTCTCCATGGACCTTTACATTTGTTGTTGTTGTTACATTTGTGTTTGACTCTTTGTGACCCCATTTGGGATTTTCTTGGCAAAGATATTGGAATCGTGCCATTTCCTTCCCCAGCTTATTTTATAGTTGAGGAAACTGAGGCAAACAGGATTAAATGATTTATATAGGATCACAGCTAGTAAGTGACTGGTGACAGGTGCTCTATCTACTGCACCTAGCTTCCCTTTACATGGACCTTTATATGAGTTAGATTTATCAGAATAATTCAAAGTGTCCTTTTTTATAAAACATGCCTGGACTATGAAAATATTCATAGTTTTGGTCAGTGTGGGCCCACCTTTTGCCAGTGAAGATGGCAGCCCATCTATAATGCAGAAGATAAGAATAGACCAGAACTGGGGGGTAGCTTGAGGCCCAGAGTGGTTCAGGTTTTTGATCAGGATCAAACAGTTGGTAATGAAGTCAGGAGAGGCCTAATGTGTGAGACAGATGCATGTGAGCTTAGTTTGGAAGAAACCAGGGATTTTTTTCAAGTCTGAAGTGAGAAAGGTCTGAAGTTGTTCTTAGCATGTTCTGAGGTGACCGTCTCAATTCCCACTCTCATTGATGAGTCAGACCCTTTGAGCATGTCTATTATATCCCCTCAGTGCTCTCAGACTCTCAGGGTAGTTTTGAAGGGTTGTAAGCTGTCTTCCTTTTTTGAAGAAATAAATTTTTATCAATATCTTTTGTTTTTATATCACCAGAATTTCTCCTAGTATTCTTCTTCTTCCTTCTTCCAGAGAGCCATCTCATATAACAAGAAAAAAAAAGAAAAAGAGAAAAGTAAAAAAAAATACTAGTAGAAGTAATCAACGTACTGAGAAAGTCTTAAAATATGTGTAATACTTCACATTTCCCTCTTTTCCAAAGGAGTGGGGACTAGAATGTCTTCTCCTCTCTCTTCTCTGGGGCCATGCTTGTTCTGTGTAATGCAACATTCATTTTTGATTGTTTTGTTGTTATTCTTATAATTTTCATTGTTGTCATCATTGTGCATATTGTTTTGCTCAGCTTACTTCACTCTGCATCAGTTCATGTAATTTCTTTCTATGATTCTCTGTATTTGTCATTGTCTCTTACAGCACAGTAATAATCTATTACATTCATATACCACAATTTGTTTAGCCATTCTACAGTCAATGGGTATCTATGTTGTTTCCAAACTTTTTGCTATCACAAAAAATGCTACAATAAATATTTTTGTGAATATGGCGACTTTATTCTTATCAATGACCTCCTTGGAGTATTTTCCTAGTAGTGAATTCCATGAGTCAAAGGATATGGGCTTTTAGTCCCTTTTTTCTACATATTTCCAAAATAATTTTCAGAACAATTAAACCGATTCACAACTCCACCAGTAATGCATTCATGTGCCTATCATCCAACAAGGGAGTTGTTTTTCTAATGCTCTATGGCTCACAAACCCCTACCAGTGTGCTTTCTGCCATGTTGATCAGTTGAGAATCATTTAGTCAGCCTATATAATGCCTTTTGACATGTAATATTTAGAAAGGGGGATTATAGTAAGGACAGTTGGTACAAAATGTTCCTTCCCCTCTCCCCCAAAGTCTGTTCTATTTTTGTATTCAAATCTCTTTTCTCTCTTTCTGTCTCTTTGTCTCTCTCTTCGCCCCTTCTCTGCCTCTGTCTCTCCCTGCCTCTCTCCTCTCCTTCTCTGTGTCTCATCTCTCCCTGCCAGTCTCTTTATCTTTCTACTCTCTCATCCTACTCCTGAGAGATTTCTTCTTACCTGTGTCTCTCTCCTCTTTACCTATAGACACTTACTCAGTCCCATATGTCTCTGTTTCCTGGACAGATATTTTGCTGCTGAATCTTAGGGTATGACCAATTTTTTTCAACCACTCCAAACATCCTTCCTGTATGATGTCACATAGAGTTTCAGAATTAGTAGGGGTGCCTTGATTGATTTGATTCAATTGTCGTGAATCTCCACCTTGTTGAAGTCCTACCTTGTCAAAGTCACTTTAAATGCTCTGGGTAAATTTGATTGATTTACTCAATCAACCTTCCATCATTACATAGCACAGGGACAGTCTGGAGACAGGAGATGGAATGTCCTAGACCCTTGGGAAATAGCAAATAGGCTACTGGAATATAGAGCATCAGAATGGGAATAATACATAATAAGCCTAGAAGGGTAGACTGGAGCCAGATTGTGAAGGGTTCAAAAAGCCAAACAGATTAGATTATATTTTGTCCTAGAGGCTCATGTTTTAGGAATATCACTTGGATTGGAGAAGGGAAAGAAAGATTGGAAAAGGGAACCCAATTAGGAGGCCATTACAGTAGTCTAGATGAGAGATGATGAGAGTCTCTGCATGTATCAGGGGTATCCTTGATGAAAATATGAGAAGGGAATAGGCAGACCCTTCATAGAGGGGTTTGCTTTGGCAACGAGAAGGGCCACCTCCTCATGAGGGTCAGAGGTGAAGGAGGAGATAGTTGGGGAAGACATCTGAGTGATGTGAAATGAAGAGGAGGGGAGAAGAGAGAGCTCTCATCAGATGGTCTCCAAATGTCAGGGGAACCAAAGGGCACTGAAAAGATAGTGTTGTGGGCTACAAGCTTCCTCGAATTTGCAATGATGACTTGCCTCAGTTCTGTGCCTCAGTTTCCTCATTTAAAATGGATTTGGACTTGATGACTGCTAAGGTCCCTTCCAGCTCTAAATCTCTCTAAGAAGTGGCATAAAAGCCATCAGTACTGAAATGTGAGATCTGAAAAGGAGGAAGGCAGTCATGTAGCCAGTGCAAGGGGTAACATGGATAGTCTGAGTACTGTACCAGTATCCACGGAATGTTAAATGACCAATCAGAGTTATATTAGAGATATACTCTACCACAGAGTAAAGACCATACCTTAACCCCAATTCTCTGTGGCTCTCATTGATTGGCCAACAACAAGTCCTGGCCCGAGCACCACTTAATGGTTAATTTTTTGGGCTCTGATGGCTCAAAGTGAATGTAAATGGTAATTGTTTCTCTTTGGGCTAGCAACCCTGAGGGTCTTCCCCTCCCAATTTGATTTTTTTTTTATTAAAGGCACCATCTCTTGACTCACTTCTTAAACAGGCCTAATCTAATCACTGAATGGGCATTGCCTCAGTCAAAGCGAGAACTCAGGAAAGACCTTAGCTTAAAAAGGCCAAGGTCTCCCACAAATCCTAGGCCATCTCCAGTTGGCCTGATCTGTATCTGGCCACTGGACCCCGATGGCTCTGCAGGAGAAAGCGAGGCTGGTGACTTTGCACAAACCTCCGTCACTCAATTCCAATTCACTTGCGAGTCAGTGACACGACCTCCCTGATGTAGTAATGGTCCTTTTGGAGAACAAAGGACAAACCACGCGGCTTCTGGGTCAGGAGTAATTTGAAGGAAACTGGGATTTATTGAAGTACTTTTTGACTGTTGTAGCTTTGTGGTAGCAGCTGGGCAGGGGAGAGAAGGAGCTCGAAGTATAAATCACCACTCACGTTCCAGTTTCTCCCAGGAATACAGGACTTTGTATTTGGTTGGATGCCTCCTTTGATCTCCACTCTCCCACAATGCTCTTTGGCACTGTTGATTCCTTGCTCCTCCATAGGGGTTATTTTACCACTGGGCCAGGAGTCCCCATGTCTCTTGTTTAGTGACTTTAATCAAAATGTAATTGACTCCTACTATATGTACAATGTCCAAGCTCCATGGAGGAAATTCCTGTGTCATCCTAGTAACGGTTTTTACCACATTGTGTTTCACTTCACCACATGGCGTCCCTGACCTTGACCTCCATGGCAGTTTGGCCTTCCTGGGGCCTCCTGAGTGGGACCCCTCTTTCCACTGATGCCCAGGAATCTGGTCTGAGGTTTTCCTTTAGGTCCTCCAATCATCTGCACCTGTGTTGATGGAGATAAAGAAAGTGCTTGCAAATAATGACCCCGGACCATCCTAAGCAGAATGGAGGGCTAGCCAGGTTAATTTCTACATACTTTAGAGGCCTGTCCTTGGACTTGGGCCAACTGCTCACAAAGCATTCTCCTCTCTCTCTCTCACCCTTTAGCCTTTCAGAACATTTTCTTTCCAGCTCCTGGCTTCTGTCGCTTCTCCTGCAGTTTTCCTTTAACCCTTTGACTACAACAGTGTAAACAAAGAAGCAGGCACCTAGCTCAGCGGGGTACAAAACACACCTCATTATCTTTTCTCCCAAACCTCCTCTCTTCTGAACTTCCTACAACTCCTGAAGGCATCACCATTGTTCCAGGCATCCAGACCCAGTGACCTTACCATCGTCCTCATCTTCTCTTGGGTGCTTACCCCACACAGCTTATCAGTAGCCAAATCTTATTCTGCCTTATGTGTCCTCCTGTCTCCTTTCATGCCTCCCTCCCCCCCAGTTCATGCTCGTGTGACCTCTCGCCTAAACTGTGGCTTTTAATGAGTTCTCATCCATGCACAGAGGTGGTCATGCCCATCCATTACCCACAACTATTCCTCTTCCTCATCCATCCACTCTAAATTCCTTTTTTTAAAAAGATAATAATAGCCCTTATATGGTATATATTATATTATAATAGTGCTTACATGTATTATATACCACCGTACTAAGCCCTTTATAATTATCTCATTTGATCCTTTTAACAATCCTAGGAGGTAGAGGCTGTAATTATCCCCCTTTTACACGTGAGGAACCTGAGGCCAACAGAGGTTAAGTGACTTGCCCAGGGCCACACAGCCAGGAAGTGTCTGAGGCCTGATTTGAACTCAGGT